TTGTCTTAAAAAAAAAAAAATTTAGCCAGGCAAGGTGGTACAATGCCTGCAATCCCAGTACTTGGGAAGCTGAGGCAGGAGGATCGTTGTAAGTTTGAGACCAGCCTGGGCTACAAAGTGAGTTCAAGGCCAGCCTGAACTGCATAGCGAGACCCTATCTCAAAACAACCCCCCCCAAAAGACATATATATATATATATATATATATATATAAGGGGGGTAATATAAACAATTAAATTAGACAGGAAAAAGAGGAATCTAAAACTGAGATATTACAAATAAGATCTCCGGTTTCATGTCACAGGATGAACAGGTTAAAAGTGCCAAGGCTTCTGGCTGGGACATGGAGAGTCTTCCCTCCCCCTCCCGTTCCCCCTGCGCTGCCTCTGGGCCCTGGGTTCTGCACTCTGTGGAAGGCTGGTCCCCTGGGCAGGTACATTTCTTGTCCATACATCTGATATGACCAGGGTGAAAGGTACGGCAGGAAGCAGCCTGTAACTGTGCTTCGGGCAAAGGCCCCAAGCTCTGCGAGCGGCTTCTTCTGAAGAAGCCAAGAGAAGAAGCCCTGCACTGCGCAGCGGTCCTGTTCTCAGGCTGAAAGAGGCTTCTGAGGCCCAGCCAAAGGCTTCTCCAGGCCAAGCGGCTTCGCTCCCTCCCCTCAGCCTCTGCGGTGTGGCAGAAGTACACAGCACCCCTGTGACCCCAGCAGGAATGTGTTCCTAACCACAGCCACTTTCTACCAGGAAGTAAGGAACAACCTGGTCTTTAAGTAGCTGAAAGGAAACAAAGCGGGAGCTTTTTGTGCTCATTATCTGAAAGTCTCCGAAACCCCCAGAAATACCACCCCAAATCATCCTAGTCAACCACTGACTTATTCTGCGGCTTCTTCATGGCCCAGGGTCATCGTTAACCTCCAGGAGAAGAGGCTGCTGGAAGAGGGCTGCAGGGCCGCGGGGAGACCGCAGCCTTCGCCGGCGCCAGGGCACTGCTTCCACCTGTTTCTCACGCAGGCAGACTCCACAGAAAGCCCCACGCAGCGATACCTTCAAAACTCAAAACAATGAACTGGCACACAATATTCATCCGGGTTAGCCCTACAGTAGTTTATATTTTTTCCTACTTATCCCAGAACAGTTAGGAATTTTCCTATAGCATCCTAGACTTTAATCTTTTATCTGGAACCAAAATTTCAGATACTATTCTGGCTAAATATCTCGTCGATTCCCAAGTGTCCCCATTGCACAAGATTCAGATTAGGGTTTTCAGACATAACAAAATCCTGGCACTGCTAATGCCCAAGGCTTAGTATCAGTAAAACAAGGTTGCACAGATTAAAAGTTTTTAAAACCTCAATCTGCACAGAGTTAAGACATAGGCTTCTGCTGGGCATGGTGGCACATACCTGTAATCCCAGCACTCAGGAGGCTGAGGCAGCAGGATCATTGCAAGTTCGAGACTAGCCTGGGCTACAAAGTGATTTCAAGGCCAGCCTGAAATGCATATTGAGACCCTGTCCGAAAAAGACCAAAAAAAAAGAAAAAGAAATCTGCTTCTATAACCTGGATGTTTGTCTCAACATGCCTTTCCTCTTAAGGCTACATACATCTGACGGCACAAGAGAGAACTCGGGTCACAAAACACACACACCCCTGCCCAGGACTGCAGCAGGCCCTCAGAAGGGACGCTGCATCTCCTCACAGCAACCGTGCTGGGCCAGGAGCCATACTGACCAAGGCATCTTGGGGTGCCCCAAGCCTTTAGGGCAGTCACAGCAGCACCTCAGCATACCACACTGGGGGGCCACCTTTAAGCCCTGGACTGACTACTCAATCACTGAAACAGCTGGGAAGTTATCTGCATGGTCTAAAGGGAGAATGGAAATGTTCACTCAGACCCAAAGGCATCATAAACGAGAGCCTGCGGCCCTCTGGCCCACATCCACACCAAGGTTTCTGTGCTAATTCGGTTGGAACGCTGGAGGACAGGTTCACCCCAGCAATCACCTCCAATATCTAATAACCCCACTTCTCCCCCACCCCCAGCAGGATTTGGGAAGGTGACATCTGGATAGCAATACAGGTGCTGTCCTAACGGCAGACAAGGGAGCGCATTTATTTTCTACCAGCAAGAGCCCCAGTACGCTTCTTTTAACAGAGGTCAATGTGACTATTTTAGCCTGGGAGAAGAGGCATCTGGCCTGAAATCTGATGGGCAGTGAAAGCCGGCCCTGACACGGGGCCCTGGCAGAGATGGACGAGAACCGCACGTCATTATGCGAAATGACATCCTTATCCTATGGGGCCGGGGAAAATGACAGAACTAGATCACCGCAGCCAGCATTAACTCCTTCAGTTCCAGTCAAGATAATCTTTAGACACGCAAAGCCCTGATTCGGCCGGGCACGCTGGCGCACGCCTGTAGTTTTGGTGCTCGGGGGACTAGGAGGCAGACTGCTAGCCGAGCTGAGGCCAGCCCGGGCTACAGTCTCAGTCCATCAATAAAGCATAAATAATTTTTTTTTTAAAAGAGAAAAAGTGTCCTCCAACTCTAAAAATCAGCATCATGGTCTCCAGATATCATTCCCATCAAAACGAAGCAGGTTCCCTGGAGAAATGGTGGACTCCAGGCCTAGGGCAAGAAAGTATACAAGATGAGCCTAAAAGTCTTCTCATACCAGAGCAAGGAAGCCAAAGAGAAGATAAACTTCCCTTCCCTCGGGACACAAAGTCCACGGATTTTTAACAAGACTTCACAGGAACTCTGGGAAAACAGCGCAGCGTCAGCAACTCCATTTCCTCCTCTAAAACATGTCAGGCTCATACAAAATGGCTGAGGAAGCGTCGGCCACCAGCAGGTCCCCACCTCCTTGAGGCTCGAGTCCACCCAGAAGGAAGCTGTTCTGAGGAACAGGCGCCCTGGTACAAGGCCAGGAGAGCTTCTGGGATGAACTTCATTAATTAGTCTAAGTAACCCATCACCCCACATCTGTTTTGTATCTTTCAAAGGGAAAAGTAATTGTCTCCGCTCAAAACCTGGTGCAAGCCGGGCGTGGTGGCGCAAGCCCATCGTGGTGGCCCATGCCTGTAATCCAGCACTCGGGAGGCTGAGGCAGGAGGATCGCTGAGAGTTCGAGACCAGCCTGGGCTACAAAGTGAGCTCAAGGCCAGTCTGAACTCCACAGCGAGACCCTGTCTCAAAAAGACCAAAAAACAAACAAACAAACAAAAACCTGGTGCTATGTGTATTTTAGGGCCTTTCTCATTGTTCTTAAACAATCTAAGCACTTATTCTACCAATTTTCTTCTGGAGAAAAAAAGACGGCAGTGAGAAGCATATGGAAACAAATGAATGCAGGTGGTGTGTCACCTTCACTGAGCCCTGCACCCCAGGAACGCCAGGAGGAGGGGCTCACATAGCTTGTTTAACAACTTTATTGTTTCTCAAATTCAGGTCTCTAGCTGAGCCAGGTGTGCTAGGAAGCTTATGGAGGCAGGATTGTGAGTTTGAGGCCAACATGGGCTACACAGAGTGGAAGGCCAGCCTGTAGCGTGCTGTGAGAAGTGGTCTCAAAAACAAAAGCAAACAAAGCAAGCGCCATGAAATCCCCACACTCTGGAGCTGGAGATAAGAGGTGTGCGAGTTCAAGCTCAGCCTGGGCGTTTCAGTGAGACCCACTGTCAAAATTAAAATAAATGCCAAACATTCATTAAGAGTGAAAAATTTTTTGAGCCAATCATTTTCCCTAAGCTACAGAATGGCTAGTGGTTATTTCTTAAATGTAGCTAACCCAAGAGGAATTGCTCAGAGGGCTGAGGAGCGCTCTGCAAAGCCCACGGGCCTCTCAGCCCTGCTCCAGGTGCTGGGCTCCCGACCTGACAGCAGAGTGCGATCTCCTGTCCAACCCAAGGTACGCAGGACACTGACAGCTCACAGCCCAGGACGCTGCAACGCCGTGCCCGCCCACACATTTAACAGAAGCCTCGAAATGCTTTATCCACTTTATACACAAGAGAGTAGGGGTGGTCCAATTATTTCAGTGAGGAAGACAACAGAATTTAAAGCATGAAGTCCTGCCCTCCATAGTCTACAGACTCGGCCCGTTCGTCACATTCATGCCGCCTTCCGTCCTGTCCACCCTGACCCCGTCCTGTCCCACCCCCGTCACCAGTGCTCTGAGCCCTGTAACGCACGCTCTAACTGGGTGCTGTGCTCAGCACAGGGCTGATGCAGTTGCCTGGAGGATTCACGCTTCTCTCCAACAAACCACACTTTCAATGTCATTTACACAAATTACAATGGAGTTCACGGATGCTGCCATTGCAGAAACGTTTCCTAAAACCTTACGTGATAGGTTAAAATTTTGAATGGGTGAACAACTAGCAGCAGAACAGAAATCATCTGAATTCTCTGACTAAGGCTTTTTTGGAGACAGTGCTTCGCTTCAGCCACAGAAAACTTCCTACACCTCAGCCTGGGTTGCCAGAGTGTGTCACCACGTCCTGCTTTGACTAAAGTACTAAGGCTTTCATATACAGGGCCAATTATAAAGACATGGCAACTTCTTATTTAAGTAAAAAAATCGTATTTCCTGGTTTAAGTTCACATGTAACATGAAACAGTCATACTGTGTAGAACTGACATGTAGAATTATATACCATGGTTTACAGTTCCATAACTATGGCTAACACACGCACACATACACATATAAAATCTATCAGTAATACTTCTATAATACACACATAGGCTGGGGATATAGCTCAGTGGCATAAGCACCTGTCTGGCAAGCGCAAAGTCCTGAGTTCAATTCCCAGTACCAGAAAAAAAAATACACACACAGAACCATCTAGAATACAGGGAAAACATATTGTGTTTCACGTCTCAACGAATCCTCTGATGACTAAGCAGCTGACAAAATGTAAACACCAGAAAAGTACCAGGCATTGGAGACATGAGGAGCCAGCACACAGCAGGGTGAGGGGCTCCCGGGGACATCACACCTACCGTGGTGTCGTTGCCGGTGACGTAGACCAGAACTTCAGAGGAGTTCCTGCCATTGATGTATCGGTAGCAATTCCAAACACAGCTAATCAAGTAACCCTGCGAGAGAGTGGTCGTTACTTTTAGTTTCCAAACTATAGATAATGTAAAATAGCACACAAAGCCAGACTATAAAAGTGTCATTTACAAAGCGGGCAGCAACTTGCTTCAGTGCCCTCATTTCTTATTGATGTTTCTGGAACCGCTGATTAGGGAAGGACATGTTTAATGCATCTCACAGGTGAACTCTCGGCCACGCGCCTCCCCGCTCCGTCTGCGGGGCAGGGTGGTGGGCGCTGCCTCCTTGCTGGTCTTAGCAGGGAACAAAACTGATAAAGGTCTCGTGTGGGGATCCCGGAAACTGATGCCGTGAGGAACCGCAGAAAAGTGTAAGGACACAGCAGGCGGTGAGAGCCACTGACCCAGGGACTGGTTCTGGGAAGCACAGCACACCCCGTGTTTCGCTGCACGAACAGTGCATGCAAGGCGGCAGCTTGGTGCCAGGAGGGAGGCGGCAGTGAGGGCAGGAGCGTTCACAAGAAATGCAACCCAGTTGGGGCAGAGGCAGAGGTGGAAATAAAGCCAGGCTGAGTCCTCTCCAATTAGAGGCAGTTATCTGTAGGATGCTGTGTCTGAGACTCTGGGACTGAACCCAGCCAGGGCCTTTGCTCCAAGCTCCATCCCCAGCCACTCTTCCATTCTATTGAGCTCACTCAGTTGCCTAGGCTGGGCTCAAATTTGTGATACGCCCGCCCCAGCCTCCCACACTGCTGGAGTAACAGGCATGCACCACCACACCAGGCTTGAATTACGATCACTTAGTAAGACAGCAAGGACTCACTCTTCTCATTCACCACCAAGCCCAGCATCTAGAACACAGCTCGCACACAGAGCCCTGTAGGATATCTCCCCTTGTCTTTGGGGATTACTCAAGACCCCAAGGAGAGGTCTGAAGCAAAGGACAGCCCTGAACCCTGCACCTGCATCCCCATACATATGCACTTCTGATAACGTTCAATAAACTGGGACAATGCACTGTGATAAACCGTGCCACTGTGGTCCCTCTCAAAATACAGAACTTTGCATTTAGTATTTTTTGGGTCTTGCTCTACCACTGGCAACTAAAACTTCAAGAAGCAGAACCTCAGATGGGGGACAGGATACTGAGCTCGCTGAATAAATGATTAAACAATGAGATTTTCCTGCTAGCAGAATGTAAGCATGAATTATAGTAACTATAGGTGAGAACGAACAGGCAGCACCTGACTGAAAAAGTTACTAACTTTTCGGGGATCAATCTGACAATCTGTCAAAGGCCTTGAAACTATGTGTGCCCTTTATTTTAAGAAAATATATCCTGAAATAAATGCCTAGGTATCACTCTAGCATAGTTAATATTAGACATTTGCTTCAATGTCTAAAAATTGGTAAATAATGATATTCATAAAGTGTGTTGATACAGAATATTTTAGAACACATTTTAAAAACAAATGATAGGTCAGGCATGGTGGAGCACATGTATAATCTTAAGTTTGAGGCCAGCATGGGCTACATAGTGAGTTCAAGGTCAGCCTGAATTACCTACCAAGATCCTGTCTTAAAGATAAAAGAATGTCTACTACATGGACCTTGCATCGCATGTTGTAGCATTATATGCTATATAATGCGTAACACTATACTAATTTATTCCTAGCCAAACATAGTTTGGAATAACCCTTGGCTGCCCTATGGCCTTGATTCTGGTTAGTGTTTATCGCTCATACAGAGACTATATGTTAGAAAATAAAAAATCAGTTTAAAAATGAACTCACTGGTTTTTCTGTGGTGTTCAGGATACATTTCATAATATTTAAAACCTCATTAAAGTCTTTGTGTGTCAAAAAAAAAAAAAAAAAAAGTCTTTGTGTGTCATGGTTTATATCTAGGTGTCCCCCCAAAGCCTCATGCGTTCACAGGTGGAGATTTTGGAAGATGACTGGGTCATGAGGGTGTGATACTCATGTGTGGATGAGTCCACTGAAGAGTTTACAGCTAAATGCGACGTTGGGAGGGGAAGCCTGGTCGGAGGAGACAGTCACTGTGGGCATGGCCTGGAGGGTCTCTCTCTCTCCCTCCTCCTCCCTTGATTCCTCTCTGCTTCCCGCTGCCATGCCATGAGCTGCTACTCTTTCAACACACTGCCCTGCCTTGGAGCCAGTTGACTATGGACTGAAACCTCTACGAAGTATGTGAGTCAAAATAAACCTTTCCTCCTTCGTGTTGTGGGCACTGGGTATTATCTCAACAACAAGGAAGTAACTAAGACATCAATGCTTACCTTAAATGTCAAGATAATGCTGAAAAACAGAAGAATAATAAGGACCAAACAGGTAGGGTTCACCGACATGATATCATCTCTGTAGGGAATATCAGGAGGCTGCAGAAGAGAAGGGCTCATTAGCATCTCTCAAGTCATTCGAGGTTATATTCCTCAGGCATCACTTCAGATGTGCTTACCACAGAGCAGCAGGTAAAGCAGACAGTTATTATTCAGGACCAATATAGCATTTCTCACCTACTGTTCATGAAAAAGCTAGCAAATGTGTAGCACAGAGAGGCGGATCTGTTCTTAATCTGGGAGTAATTCCACTAAAGCCAAGGAGGACTCGGGTGCAAGCAAGCCCTTGAAAACAGCATTTTGCCCTCTGACCATGCAAAGGGAGAAGCTGTGGTCTCCACCAGGGCTGTTTCCTACACCTCTGGTATCTGGATTTACTGCAAGCTCTGGGCCTAAGGGGCATGCAGAAGGCAGCGGGGAGAATCCTCCTACCATGGTGTCTTCCTGATGATACAGCCTATCTTTGCCAATGTTACCGCTTCCCAAAGGGCAGCTTCTCCTATAACAAGAATCTGCACCACTGAAAAAACACCAGGGCTTGGGGTGTGGACCAGTGGCACAGCACTTGCACCGCACATGTGAGGCTTTGGTCCCAGCACAGCAATGAATGAAGGAACCACTCAAAATCAAGTCCTTGGCTGGGTGTGGTGGTGCACACCTATAATCCCAGCACTCAGGCAACTGAGGCAGGAGGGTCACTGAGAGTACGAGGCCAGCCTAGGCTATAAAGTGAATTCAAAGTGAGCCTGAACTACACAGTGAGACACTGTCTCAAAAAGACCAAAAAAAAAAAAAAAAGAAAGAAAGAAAGAAAGAAAGAAAGAAAGAAAGAAAGAAAGAAAGAAAGAAAGAAAAAGAAAATTGAGTCCTACCCCTTACCCACAGGTCACAGGAAACCCCAGAGGACCAAGCCTGCCATGGCCAGAGCGCCCCTCATGGCTGCAGGGCCTGCCCTGCGCCTCCGGGATGGCCGGAGTGTAGCTCATGCAAGGCTGAGCCAGGTGCCACATTCTCCCTGTCCTCTTCACTGCCCCAGTGTGCCTGTGCCCCATGGGAGCAGAACTGAGCCAGGGCAGAGTGGGAAGGGTAGGGCGGGGGGGGGCAGCCTGTGACTGGTGCCCACTGCTCTTCAGCTACACCACGGAGAGCTGGCTCACAGCTCTGCCACCTTGGGCAGAATCAAAGTCATTTTCTGTGATCAGCTCACGAAATCCTGGGAAAGTATTTGTAGCAGAGACCCTAAAGGGTAAGAATAGCTTGCTGTTGTTTATAAGATCAAGAAGAAACCATACTGCTTGTGTTCTCTAGTTAAAGAGATCTGAGCAGAAGCAAGTACATGATGCTTTCCATACAGATCCTGACATTCTTTTTCCCCAGAAAAGTTGACATATCTTGTTTAGGTTTTTGGTTTTTTGAAACAGGGTCTCAAGAAACTGTCAATGAGTCCTTGATTGGTCAATATTGCATGGCTCTATCTGTGTTCATGAGAAACCACTTTGAAGATATCAATATGTAATACAACAAGCGTTGTTAATTTCCTACCACTGTGTTTGTAACTCTGTATTGTCTGTACTGTTCTTTTGCTATTTTGTAAAATGTTGTCTGTCTGTTAATGTTTTCCTTTTATTTTTAAAATTAAAAAAAAAAAAAAGAAACAGGGTCTCACTATGCGATTCAGGCTGGTCATGAACTCACTACGTAGCCCAGGCTGACCTCAAACTTGCAGCAATCCTCCTGCCTCAGTCTCCCAGAGTGCTGGGATTACAGGCATGCGCCACCATGCCCAGCTGGACATGGTTTTTAATGCAAGTTGAAATCTAGTTTTCAAAACAAAATAAAACCTGCACAACTTGTGTCGGCTGTGCTAGGGCTGCTCTGCTGTCAGCCTGTGAGCAGCTCACTCGTCTTTAAGACCACACAGGAGACATTCGATTCTACCAGCGCCTTCCAATTACAAAGAAAAGTAGGAGTTTTAAAACATTGATCTTATAATTACTGACCAAGGTCATCATGGCAACAGCCCTGGCTCCACAGGACAGACGGGAGCTGAGAGGAGACCCCCTCCTGGGGTGAAACTGGGCCACTGGGGGTTATCTGTACAGCGGAGCTCCCTGAGGAAACCGGTGCTGCGACCTCAGCTATGTATAGACACAGCCAGAAGGTAAGGGCAGCGGAGCGAAACGGTCTTGGAAAGTCCCGCCAGAGCTCCTGCTCTCCTTTGATCACTGTTCACTCCCTAACCGCTGCTCTGCTTCTGTAACTTCACTTCACGCTGATTTCCAGTGAAAAACTGCCCCACAGAAAAGAAACATGGAAGTGGAGACAACGCTTGGTTCAGGGTTCTTAGGGTGACTTGAGTCACCTGTGGAGACACTGGCAATCAATGGCTCTTTGTTCCTAACTCCCTGGCTGGGGGTGTTGGGGTCCTGTTCGTTTTCCTGCTTCAGAGCAACCGCGGAGCGGGAGGAAGTCAGGTAGCACTGCGAGGCCGCTTCCCAGCTGCGGTGAGGCCTCAGCTCCAGGGAGCTCATCGTCCTGCAGCTGACACGGGTCAGCTTCCCCGAGTCCCCCCACTGCCTAGTCACAGGCGATGCTGACGCTTCCTTCCCTCCTCGAGCCCAGCACCAGAGCACAGCAGCGCAGCGTCCGCGGGCAGAAGTGACCCTCCCTACCTTCCCTGCTGCGGGACGCTGAGCTACACCACAGGCACAGCAGCGAATGCACAAAATGGGCACCGAGGTCGTTCCTGAGGCTAGGCAGCACCCAATCGTGGACCTGTTTTCTAAGGTAAGCTACTACCGACAAAAACAACAATTCCAACAATGAAGATATTGGTTTTATATTTTACTTTTTTTTTTTTTTTTAAGTTCTTATAGAGCTGGGGATATAGCTAAGTAGTAGAGTGCTTGCCTAACATGCACAAGGATCTGAGTTCAATCCTGGTCCCACAAAAATAAAGTACTTGTTTTTTTTCTACTTTTTTTTTTTTTTGGTACCAAGAATTGAACTCAGGACCTTGAGCTTGCCAGACAGGCACTTGTGCCACTGAGCTATATCCCCAGCCCAAAATAAAGTATTTGTAATGCTGAGGATCAAACCCAGGGCCTTGGAAAAGTATTAATACTTCAAAGTTTAGGGCCAGCCAGGCGTGGTGGCACAGACCTGTATGTGATCACAGACGAGGCAGGAGAATGTGAAGTTCAAGCCCAGCCTAGAAACTTAGTGAGATCTTGGCGGGGAGGGGGTTAAAAAAAAAAAAAGAGTTACAATGTAGCTCAGTGTAAAGACCCTGGGTACAATCCCCTGTACCACCCCTGTAAAAAAGTTCAGAGACTAAAAACTACTGGAGACTTCCCTAGGCGTTAGCAGCACATAAGCACAAATTATAAATGGCTTTTTTTCCTCAAACTCATGGCAACGCTTCTGCCTCAGCCTCCTAAGCACTGAGATCACAGGCATGCGCCACACAGCAGGCTTAAATGACCTTCCTACAATCTGACTGACAGAGATAAAAAGGACACTCCCTGATGGGAGTGACAAGTCCTTTAACTTCTGGGGGATCAGTCTTATCTCCCCCAGGACAGCACTGGTTTGTTTTGTTTTATGAACCAGGGTCTCACTATGCAGTTCAGCCTAGCCTTGAACTCACTATGCACCCCAGGCTAGCCTCCAATTCATAGCGATTCTCCTGCCGCAACCTCCTGAGCACTGGGATTACAGGCGAGTGCCACCACGCCTGGCCAGGACAGTGGTGTTTTAGAAGGAAAACTGACTTGCTCTATCGCCGAGCCGGGCCCCTTGCCAGCGTCATTATTTTAAGCATCAAACCAATGGGCTCTGTGAGTGGAGCCTGCCAGGGGCATGTGCAGGATGGGCAGGGCGTGGCTGTCACCGGGTCACGAGCTCCTCCACAGCTTACCAGCTGCCGTAGGTAGTCCTGGATGGAGTTCGGGTACACGAGCACAGTGACCGCAACCAAGGTGTTCAAGGCGAAGTCAAAGATCTGGTAACAGAAGAACGGGATGATCCAGGCCGCACGTTGCTAAACACAAGCAAACAGAAGGTTAGCGCCACCATGCTACAGCACAGGCTGCTGCTGAGTTCGCAGAGACGGTGCATTAATCTAAAGGGACGCGGAGGACCTGAAATTCACTGCACCAGGTCAAGACAGCAACTGATTTGCCAGATAGCAGTAGGCAACAAACAAGACTCAGCAAACACGAATACCGCCTTCACTGCTTTTGCTAGTGCCAGACTTAAACTCCCAAAAAGAGTCTCACAGGAAACCCGGGAGCCTCCTCCACGCTCACCGGAGGGACACGCAGTCTCCCCCAGCGGCGGCGAACCTGCGGCACACGTGTCACAGCAGGCTGCCTGCGTCACTGAAAGCTCTGCACGCTCACCGTCGCTGGCTTACGCCGCCAGGGGCTGAGGGACAGGCCCAGCTTCTCACCTTGTACGCGCCATAGGTCGCCATCGCGCAGATCACGATCATGAGCACAGAAACTGCAACGGCAATGTAGATGTCTGCCAAAAGGTCGAAAACCAGACAGTTAGCAACGAGCCACTGCTGAAACAGTCTGGACTTTCTCCTTAAAGCCATTTTGCTTATAAACCAATTAAAACTTGATGCTAAGTAAACCACCAGTTTTGCTTTTTCTTGGAATCTGACTAGATGATAGTTAACACAGGTAAAGTGCCCAAGAAATAATCTCACAAAGACACAGGAAAGACATGTTGCTCACAAGTATCAAAGTAATTTTGGCCTTCTGATCCACTGTATACATATAAATCCTTTATGATAATGTTATAGATGTTCTTTTAGAGTTGTAGTGGAGAATAAACTATAATAAAAATTTCTTAAAAACTATAGCTTCATGTTGGGCATGGTGGCGCAAACCTGTACTCCCAGCACTCGGGGGGCTGAGGCAGGAGGATCATTGCCAGTTCAAGACCAGCCTGGGCTACAAAGTGAGATCAAGGCCAGCCTGGACTGCATAGCGAGAGCCTGTCTAAAAACACACACACACAAAAAAACTGTAGCTTCATAAACGGGCAACTGACCTTGGCCACACAGCTGCAACTCAGAAATAACTCAGGTCTATCTGTCCAGCTGCACAATGCACATACACATACTGTTTTTCAAAACTGTTCCAAGGACTGTCTACCCGACACACAGACTAGTCCTGTCAAGGTCACACTAAATCTTGTCCACTTGCCCGGCCTCTCACCACCCCCATCTTCCTGCCTTGTTAGAAATGACCCCCTAGGGGCTGGGGATACAGCTCAGTGACATAAGCGCCTGCCTGGCAAGCACAAGGTTGTGAGTTCGATCCCTGGTACTGCAAAAAAAAAAAAAAAAAAAAGAAATGACCCCCTCAATGAAACCTAGCCTGGACACGTCTGCCTGACAACCTATGACAAAATGGATGTAACCAATTATAAACTAACCTATTACCGACTCTGTACTTCCTGCTCACAAAATTCTAAGTTGCTGTTTTACTTTAGGCCAGAGCTGACACTTTGGGGAGCGATTCCTCATCAGCCCGCTGGTGTAAAGTAACAGTTGCCTTCCAAACTCCTTGGTGCAAAGGAGTCTGCTAGAGTTTTTCTGCAACACTACAGGTGCCATGAATGTATGCGAGCCTCATGGTCCCGAGACCTTCTCCGCATGGGTATAACAGCAGCTCATTCCGAGTGTGCCTGTCTCTGCTCTGCTCATCACAGCTGCACCATTTGGTTGGTCACAGCCAGATCACAGTACGAGGCCGGGCGTGGTTGCACACACCTATAATCCCAGCATTTAGGAGGCTGAGACGGAGGATCACTCCAATTCCAGGCTAGCCCGTGCAACATAGCAAGAGCAAGACCAGCCTGAACTACATAGCAGGACCTTATGTCAAAAGTGAAAATAAAACAAAGAGATCACAGCACCATGGGACCCTGCATGTGCAGGTCCACCATATCGTCATGTGATCAGCACCTCTTTTCAGCTGTTCGGGTCCCAGCTCCAATGTCAACACCTCGGAGAGCTCCTCCCAGGGTATTCTGCTACAGCCCTAGCAGTCACTGTTGCCTTCCTATCTTTACAGCACAGATCACAAGGGTCTTCTTTCTACTTGTTACTCATGTGCTGTTTCCTTCCAACACAGTGACCTTCCTGGCCGGAAGGACGTCATCTCGCTCCAAGGACAGCCACTGTCTAGGTGAGAACTGCTCCGAACAGCCATGAGCTGCAGGGAGGCACTGAGCATTTGAAACAAGGTCAGCATGAACTGAGGCAAGCAGGAAAATGACGTGCATGCCGATTTCATGTACAAGGAAAAGAATGTAAAACATTTCGCTCAACCTTTTTATACTGATCACACAGTAATATTTTGGATATATGGTACTTAAAAATTAAATTAATCTCACCTGTTTCTCTTTGCCTTTTTAACAAAACATTACTAAACAATTCTCTTATTACTTATGTGGTTACAATATCCTACTAAACGGTGCTGATCTAAGATAACTCATATATCATAGTAGGCACTAACTGAACATTTGTTTATTCAGGTCCATACATTTAGGAATGTTTCATCTCTTTTTAAATTTAAGACAAGGCCAAGGATATAGCTCAGTGGCACAAGTGCCTGCCTGGCAAGTGCAAGGTCATGAGTTTGATTCCCAGCACCAAAAAAAAAAAAAGATAAATTTAAGACAGAGTTTTGCTATGTAATCCAAGCTTGCCTGGAATATGCAGTAATTTTCCTGCCTCAGCCTCCTGGGTGCTTGGATCTACAGGTATGTGCCACCACACCCAGCTAGGAGACGCTTATGGCTAGGCAACATATGTAAGCACAAGACCCATGCAGGAGAGGATCTGAACAGTGCCAGACAGTTTTCAAGGCACTTTTACAAATTGTTTCACCCTCCCGACTGGGTTAGATATTACTGTTCTTACAAACAAATTATAAACCTAAGACTCAGGGGTCATGGAACTTTCTGGATAGCATTTGCATCAAAGGCTAAGCTATGTATGCTTCCTTCTACCACACTGTACCAGGCTGCCTATAACCCTAACTACCAAAGACCCAGCCAGGCCGCACATCTGTTGCTCTTTCTCCAAGGCCAGTGCACTAGCTTTACTTACAGCCATCCCTGAAGCCCAGCTGCAGGCTGAGAGAACATTTCAAGTGGGAAGTGTACAAAGTACATCTGAGGATGGAAATGCAGATATGCACTAAAGTATTACTGTTCCTCACATCAAACCTGTGGCTGGAGGTGCAACTGAAGGTTACAGCCACAAAGGCTATAATTACACACTTCCCTGGAGATAATGGGCGCTTGAGAGTATTGGTACCACCTTTCTGAGATAGATTTCCTGTGTAAGTAAACCATTACCTCAATAGGGGTGGGTCATCCTCTCCCAAAAAGACTAAGAGTAAGACTTACGGTTACGGTACTAACACTAAGACAGACCGAGACTACATACAGATTATCCACCAAGGGTAATGAGGTCATCCACATGCCCTTGTTACCACTGGATCAGTATTACCTAAGCAGCTATACTTGTAACCTTATGGTTCATTACAGTTTTGACCCACACTGTTCCCACCCCTTGTGACTTTATTCTATAAAACTTCCTTCGAGAAGTGGGTTCATTGGTAACTCATTCGGGGCACCTCCTGCCTCTCAGCTCTTCCTACCCCCATTCCGAGTCCCTTTTTTTTCTCCCCAGTAAATTTTCCTACTCTTAAAAAAGTTCAGCCGGGCGTGGTGGCACACGTCTATAATCCAGCACTCGGGAGGCTGAGGTAGGAGGCTGAGGCAGGAGGATCGTTGCGAGTTTGAGGCCAGCCTGGGCTACAAAGTGAGCTCAAGGCCAGCCTGTACAGCACAGCGAGACCTTGTCTCAAAAATACAAAAAAAAAAAAAAAAGTTCTTGTTCCTTCAATTTAGTCTACAGATTGAACGCAACAAACTTGTGAAGATGTGGATGACTCTTACAGAAGTGAACAGGTGAGTCTCAAAAGGAAGAAAAAGGCAACGTAAGAGTCACTTCTCTCAAGACACTACATATAGTAGTTGATTTTGTAGTTTTGTTTTGGTTTGGTTTTTTTTAGTCTTTTTGAAACAATGTCTCGCTATGCAGTTCACATTGGCCTTGAGCTCACTTTGTAGCCCAGGCTGGTCTTGAACTCCCAATGATCCTCCTGCCTCAGCCTCCCAAGTGCTGGGATTACAGGCATGCGCCACCATGCCTGGCAATTTTGTAATTTTAAAATGCTTACTTAGCCTCACATTATTCTTGGATCAATGGGGAGGACAAGCTTGAATTCATTTCACATGCAACCCTAAGGCTGAGTGGCTTAACTCCTCAGATGCGGAGAAAGCCTGTCTGCACACACTGACAGTATAAACATATGGGTGCGCTATCACGCCTGGCTAAAACTGCGTATTTTTTTTTAAACTGCATATTCTTAAAAACAACAACAAAAAAACCCTCCAGAACTAAATTTCACTTAAGCCTAACTTCTTCTTTTTTGAGACAGGGTCTCACTATGCAGTTCAGACTGGCCTGGAACTCACTATGTAGCCCTTGCTGCTCTTAAACTCAAGAGCGATCCTCCTGCCTCAGCCAAATGCTGGGATTACAGCTGGGAACCATAACATATGTAAGAGGGGTGGAGGATGCAGCAGAGACTACCAGGCTTGTGTAAACGCAACATGGCATGGAGTTCATGGTGTCTGGATGGAGGCAGCAGATAAGACCCTGTGCCTGGAACAAAGAGAAGTGGGATAGAGAGAAGCAGGGGATGCTGGGTGGGAAGATCTCAATAAACACCTGTGGTCGAAGTTCTCTGGCTGTCTTGCACCTCAGGGGGCAGAGTCCTGGAAGTTTCCAGTGTAAATCTGCAATGTCTCCAGATGTTCCCAGATGGGCCGAAACCTGCAAAATTCCTTACCCTATCTAATCTCCTTTCCTGTGGTTGCCAAGGACAACTGCAGGTGCTGAGGGAGCTCCCTGCTGGTAAGCAGGCTGGGGGCTGGGAGTCAGGTTTGGAGCCTTACATGGGCCACTTTGCCTGGTTCAAGCCTAATCTTAAAATTTTAAATGTCTTTTCTAAAGGATATAAAACTCAAAGGAATCTAAAAGGCACAAATAAAAGAATTAAAATAAAAATATGCTACTGAAGTAGAAGAAATAAAGACAGATAAAAAAAAAAGACAAAAGTTGTAATTTTAAAATTGTACTTTTGGGGCTGGGGATTTAGCTCAGCGGCAAAGCGCCTGCCTTGCAAGCGCAAGGTCGTGAGTTCGGTTCCCGGTACCAGAGAAAAACCAAAAAAACAACAACAAAAAAAAAATAAATAAATAGTTAAAAAAAAAAAAATAAAATAAAATAAAATAAAATAAAATAAAATTGTACTTTTAGGAAGGCTGCAACTTCAGGACACAAAGTAACCCAAAGTTGCAAAATTTTTCCCCTTCCAGGAAATGCACTCCAAAAGTATTCGTAACAGTCACAACTACACTAAGTCTGT